TATCCATCATATTTAAACAGCTGTTATTGGTTAGTTATGTTTTTATTATAACAACAGTCTTGACAACAGCCTATTAAAACCAAGTTTATTGTTCTTTTGTGTATGCATGCAAATGAGTGTAGCGGTGTAAACGATCAACAAGCAAAAGGTTCTGAGTATAATGCTCAGTGCAAATTTCGAACTATAAATTTTGGAAAAAAGGTGCGCATTATACACGGGTAAATACGGTAGTACATTTAGTATTGGGTCCCTTCCAGTGAAAGCAGTGAGGGGAAATAAGTTGAAGGGTAGAATGATATCAAATAATATGTTAATTAATGGAAGACAGTACACTGTAGATCGTAAATATGTATAGCATGTTACTTTTAGGAAAGCAAATTTGTACAGTTAGTGTTCAATTCAGTTGCATCATTTTACACAGACTGCTCATTTTGCTTTCTGCATGTGTCTGTTGTCTCTACTTGTTTACAACAGTCAAACCTCCTTTTATGGTTATCTCTTTCTATAGATACTCCAACAGGGGGATACATGTCTGAAGATCAGTGCTCTGACATGTCTGGAGACCAACCACAAAGTATGCAGACAGGTGGGTAAACACATGCAAACCACTTTTCTGCAGAATGCTGCACATTAGAAACCTGGGACAGCATGTTCAAGAATTACCTGACTCTGTTCTAAGCATATGAATTATTGATTTTTCTCATTAATACAGCAATGTAGTCAGGCCGTATTTAGCTTTTATTAACTGAGCGGGAGGTCTGTTTGTGAGAATCCTGACCGAGGTTATGAGTACAGACCGAATGCTGTGAGCTCTGTACACATGACCAAGGTCAAGATTCTCCCATATTGGCCGACTAAGCTCGGTTAAAAATATTCTTATTATATGGCAAATAAGAGCAATTTAATTCGTTTATTGTAACTGGTTTGTACTAACTGACATTTTGCTTCTGAACGGCGATGAGCTGAATTTAATTCTGCCAAAGTTTTCTCATCCTCTTTACTTTTTTTCCTAATCAGGCTTTTTGGCAGTTCCATAAATAAATATAGTTAGAAGAAAATAGTCAATGATTTTGCATTTTAGTTTGCAACTTTTTCACTGCAAAACATTACCAGTCTAGATTGGAAAATCTAGACCACTTTCAATATCAATTTCAGCCAATCAAATTTTTAAATTTGGTAGTTCCCAGTCCTTGTGAGACAGAGCCATATAATAAATTTATGATACAATCAAGACAGTTCCCCTGAATCCATATTTATCACTTATTCCACTAGTGCAAGTTTGATATGAGATGATAGATAGCCAACAAAGTTTGTAGCACCTAGTTGGCTATAATCATCTCATATGCAAGAACTGAGAGAGGAATAATTGTTTTATTAAAAATGCCCCTAATATATAAAAAAAGTGGGAGGTGCGGTGGCCTCATGGTTAGTGCGCTCGTCTCCAGATCGAGCGGTCCAGGTTCGAGCCCTGGCCGGGGACATCGTGTCGTGTTCTTGGGCAAGACACTTTACTCTCACAGTGCCTCTCTCCACCCAGGTGTATAAATGGGTACCAGCGAACTTAAATATTCCTATTCGCTTGATGCTACAGAAACCGGGATAAGCTCCGGCCTGATGGGCCACTTGGCTCGCATGCAGACTTTACCTTTACCTAATATATAGAAAACTACATATACACTAAAATAGAAATAAAAATGCCAAGATAAAAAAAAAAAAAAAAAAAATCACACGGATGCTTACCATATTTGTAGAGCATGGTACAATGGCTCGCAACCCATAATGGCTAAGCCAATGAGAACTCCCGAATTACAGTATCCAAGCATCCAGTTTTTAGTGCAGAGTGTGCTGTTGGGACGGTTTGGGGGTTGCCCTTGCTAAAGCACTATTGTAATAAGGCACTATGGTACTATGGCCATAAAGTGTAAACCTTTATGTTTGTATAATTAATTAATTGCAATTAATTAATTAGGCTTGCAAGGGGGACAGGATGGGGTAGGTACTTGTGAGGACTACGTAAAATGGGTGGTGTATGTACCTAAGTTACTTCCTTGAGCTCTTCAAAAAGCTATTTGTATGTTTCAGAAAGCCCCTTGCTTGCCTTGTGGTACTTTTCTCTTTAGAACAAAACCAGTATTTGCTTCAAACGCATGCGCAGATTAATAAGCGTTAGTGTCAACTACATATCAGATGGAAAATACATTTCATACAAGGTCACACACTAACATTGAGCCCTTTTCCATGTGGTAGAACCCTAATAAGTCATACGCATGCATCCTAGCATTGTTAGCACGATACAAGAATGCTACTGTGACTGCATGTCTTTTGGGATTACGCCTAACTTGGTTCAAGAAATATCATCTGCTGTTTCCAAACTACACTAGTGCGTTTATTTCATTCTTTAGTTGTCTCTATCAAAGAGAACAAAATGTTCATACCTGCAGCCAAAACTCTCCCGAATAAGTGGCATTAAAACTTGTCAAATTGTACAAAAACCCAGGAAACTGCTCAAATAGTACTGCAGACTCCGTGGTATCTACTGGAAGCATAAATTTTTATCAGTCTCTGATGGGACTCATTCACCAATGAAGGATATAATTTCGGTCAAGTAGCGCTGTTTACTTTCGATACCGCTCGTTGAAACGCTTCTCAGTTGTAGTAATCGATATCAGTGTGTTCTAAATTTAAGTGGTTTTATTGTTAATGCCAAAGGTAGCAACAGAACCTACTGTTCCGTGACAATTTGATAATTAGATTAGTTTTTCTTTATCGGTCAAAAGAAAATTTGCATGTTAAATAAAGCAAATCATTCCTCTTCCATTTCTCCTTCTCCTTTCTTCCATCTATCTCCAGCTGTGATAAGAATGCAAGCACATCTTCCATGTGTTTTCGAGAAAAAAGAGTCTCAGGTTACATACCTTTGCGAGGAAATTAAAAGTATCAAGTTACAAACGTTTGCGTGAAAAGTAAAATTGTCATGTTTGCTACTTAAATGTATTATTTACTTTAAAATGAGCAAAAATCAACGTAAAACACCACAGTAATATTTAAGAGCTGTCTTGACAAACGGTAATTAATTTTAAGCTATTCTTGGACTGAATGAAAATACACACATCAAACATATACAATGCTAAGGTCATGTCTCATCAAAACTAGCAAGGTCAATACAAACCAGGAGTGAATGGTAGGGGTTATACAGGAACTGTGTTATGAGTACTGTTTCAGAGCTATACATTTACGCTCTGCACTATCTGAGATTGTCTCACTAGTTAATAATAATATTGTCAAACTTGGCTGTTAATGTCTCCACATTTTTGTAATACTTAAATGGTAGTGTTTTTTTTTCTTTGAGATAAGAAATGTTGTCCTAAACCTCATTGAGAAATTTTTGGGCACCACTGTGTAGCCTTTGTTAGGGTTGCATCTGTGCTTGGGAAAAAAAAAATTGAGTAAGTGGGGTAAATATACATGTACTAGTGAGTTGTTAAGAATACCAAGTCCGTTACCTGAAGCACAACCAGAGCAATATAAGAAGAGGGGTAATTTATGTCTCATTGTAAATCATTTCAGCCCTCATTTTCNTTCACTATAAATTTACTTCGCATCCACAAATTTGCTACACCCCACCCCCTCAAACTCATTTGTGTTCATGTAAGTCTCGAAATTCATCAACAAATTCCTAAATTATTTAATCCCAAATTATTTCCCCTGGATTCTTCTCAACCATAACAGCATTTTTCTATGCAGATGGCATACAATCTCCAAGACAGTGAAAGAACAGTGGTTCAGTTTACAAAAGAATCAGTTTACAACAGAATCATTCAAGTAAAATGCCCCCTCAAAATATATTTCCTTGTTAGAGAAATGTTTATGGGAACTCTGAGTGAAATGTAGATTCAGTGCTTTTTTGTTGGTTTCTTTGTAGATCCTGGCCCATTATCTCCAGACCCCACCCTTGCAGGTAAGAAAGAAATTTAATTCCAGACTAGTATTTTAAGCAGTGATTTTCTCTTTTTGGCCTTTAATACCACTGTAAATAGTTGATGTAAAATTATTTGTTCATACATGTAGAGTAGGCATGTCGAATTACACGAAGATGTAGTGGAGGGTCTTAGCTACAGTATATGAATGTATGTGTACATTGTATGTTTGTGTTGGTGCATGAATATATAGTTGAACCTCCTGTAAGCGACCACCCAAAATGTCAAGCCTATGTGGTTGCTCACCAGAGACCTGTGGTCGCTTATAAGAGCTAAGACTATATTGGGTCAAACTTTTGCCTCATTAGAGTATGGTAACTACTGTCAATTTCGAGAACAAAATCCGATTCTTCCCATTGAGAAATTCTTGTCTCTTGTACTACCCAGGAATACATTAATCGTCCAACTCCTTATTATCCAATTTCCTCTCATTGTCTGTCAAGTGGTTGCTTATGGAAGGTTAGAAACAAAATAAAATTTCAAACCTTAGCTCTATAAGTGATCGCAGCCACTGAGGAGAGGAGAGGTGGTCCTTTGCGAGAGGTGTTCGCAACCGAAGGTTCGACTGTAGTCATTATTCTGCGCATACATTACATGTAACTAGTGAATTGTTTTTTGAGCAGTTCTTGTCCTTTTTTCTACTAGATGCTCAGCCTGTTCAGTACACTGAACCAACTTACTGGTGCCAGATTTCTTATTATGAGATGAATACAAGAGTTGGGGATATTTATCATGCAGCTCGGCCAAGTCTCACTGTTGATGGTTTTACAGATCCCTCTAGTTCTGACAGGTTCTGTCTTGGATTGTTGTCAAACATTAACCGAAACCCTCAGATAGAGATGACACGGAAACACATTGGAAAAGGAGTACGTCTGTACTATATTGGTGGCGAAGTGTTTGCCGAGTGCTTAAGTGACAGTAGTATATTTGTTCAAAGCCCCAACTGTAATCAAAGGTATGGCTGGCATCCAGCAACTGTTTGCAAGATTCCACCTGGGTGCAACTTAAAGATCTTCAATAACCAAGAATTTGCTCAGCTATTATCACAGTCTGTCAATCAAGGCTTCGAGGCTGTGTATGCATTAACTCGTATGTGCACAATCAGAATGTCTTTTGTCAAAGGCTGGGGTGCTGAATATCGCAGACAAACTGTGACAAGTACACCATGCTGGATTGAGCTTCACCTTAATGGCCCTCTTCAGTGGCTTGATAAAGTACTTACGCAGATGGGATCTCCCTCAAATCCGTGCTCATCAATGTCATGATGCATGTTTATACAGACTTAAAGAATTTATCGTGTGACTGTCTGCAATGCTGAAGAATGTAAGTTAGACAATAAAAGCTACTCCTATGTTCAAGACCATATATACAGGTTTGTATCAAGGGTCCAGTCATATTGCATAGAACAAGTAAGATCCTTCTCAAAAAAGTAATCTTCATGTATTAATAAATTATATTTTATATAATTATGAAATCCCACTATTACATATATGGTGTAAATGTGCCATTGTTGTTTTAGAGAGAGGGTACATTTCTAAAATGTCATTATCAATTGCATTTGGCAAAGAAAAGAGAAAAAAAAGGTTTATTGCATTCTGCAGGGAAGTTAGACCACGGTACACCTTGGGTTACTTTATCAGCAGATGCATTTGACTGATGTATCAGGAACAAATTGCTGGTTTTAATTACTATTTTTTTTACTCATGTTCATCGTAAGAAAGAATCACGAGTATACACATGTATTTTAGGGCAACACAGCTGAAGCTGTGGTGATTTTTAGCATTCAGGACTCAGCTACTGAAGTATATGTCGATACATGTACATGTACAATTTATAGGGTTATTTCCATGAAATTATAAAGATAACTGAAATCTAAATTTTATCAGCGAAGACAAAAGTATGACTAGTAATAATATGTCATCCAAGATTATGAGATCCAAACTTAAGATCAGTGAAGAGGTAACAAATTGCTGTCAACAAATGACCTTTCATTGACGAGGACGAGTGCAATTGTTATTCTCGCCAGTGAAACAGAATTTCACTCATAAATTAGCTGCTGTACTGTACATGTATTGAAGATTTTGTCATAATATTCACTGTGAAGAAAAAAATACAGATTAGTTAACTTTGTAACAGGTTTCTATTAATGCTTGTGGTTAAATGCATACCGGGGTAGATTTTTACTTTGTCACCCTTTTGCGTGAAATTCAAGCTTAATTTGGTGCTTGCTGTATGCTTCATGTCTTTTTATCTGTCGGCTCGTTTTGTGATAAGAACAATAGTACATATATGCGAGCCACCAGCTAGCTTGATGGGTTTAGGATTTTTAGGTGTAGGTTTATTAGTCCTTATTTTTTTTTTACATGTACAGTGAAATGACTGTCTATCCTGTTGCCACTCATCAAAGCTTGTTTTATTTTTTTTGTTGCTGATTTTTGCTTCCCTGAACTTCTAAACTCGACTCCACTGGTGAATACCAGTGTGGGACGAATTGAAGAACCTTATAAGTGAGTGATAGACGACTGTACTCTGTAACATTTTGAAACTTGAAGCTATATAGTCTTAGGGTAGTGATGAAAACAGCTGCGCTCAAGAGGGAACTCATCATTACAAGAGTTTAAAAGTGTTCTCTTCCCTTATGAGATCTTGTTAATACTATTGAGTTTGATTGAACATGTGGCAAACGGTAAACCATGAAATGCTATTCCATGGACATTTCACCTGGTGTTAATGCACTTTTTCGTTTTCAGAGCTAACATTGCAAAATAATGTTGCACGCTTATTAACTAGTAATTCACCCCACCTGCCACTCCAAAACATCAACAAGCTGTCTTCACCACTACCCAGGTAGCCATCTTTATCCACTCAAAAAAAAAGAAAGAAATATTTAAACATGATTGCGAGATGCGTAGAAATATATCTAGATCATAAGAGTGTGGTACTTCACAAATCATGGAAGCTCACAAGTGAAAAGGGCGGTGTTTCCAATG